ATATATATATATATATATATATATATATATATATATATATATATTATTGCAGGAGATTGCATATGAGTACGAGTATAATGTTGCATGAGATGGCATATGAGCATGTTTATAGTATTGCACGAGATTGCATAAGAATATGTGTATATTGTTGCACGAGATGGCATATGAGTATGTTTATAGTATTGCACGAGATTGCATATGAGTATGATGTATAGTGTTGCACGAGATTGCATAGGATTATGATTATAGTATTGCACGAGATTGCATATGATTACAGCTTTGCACAAGGTTGCACATGAGTATGATTATGGCATTGCACAAGATTGCATTTGAGTAAAGTATCGCATGAGAGTACATAATGAGAATGTTGATTTATAATCGTTTTGTTGTATTAGAAGTCTTGTTTATCGAATTATAAGATGAGAATATGAAAGCATGAGAATACCTGTTATATTGTTTATTAGCACGATCCTATCTGTAAGCATGAATTGCTTGTTAAGTTATTTGAGAAGTTTAATTGCTGATGAATTTAAGTTTTATATATATATATATATATATATATATATATATATATATATATATATATATATATATATATATATATATATATGAGCATGCCCGCTGATATAATAGGGTGCAAGCATCTAGAAAGTATGTGATAGATCTCAAGATGATTTGAGATGAGTTATTGTTTATAAAGAAATCAAATGTTTTCAAAGTAAATGCTAGAATGCTTTACAGGATTGAGTGTGGTTATACTTAGCTTCGTGCTAACGGGTGTTTTCCTATTTGTCTATGTGTTGCTTGTAAAACCCCTTTCAGGTGGGCCCAACAGTGAGAAGAGATCGAGTTAGATTAGTCTTGTAGTTAGAGATGTCTAAACTCTAGTTATTGATGACCTGTTAAGGATTTTAGACTTATTTTGATATTATGGTTTTGAGGATGTTGTATACTTTTGGGTGGCGTTTTTCCCCCTTATGTTTCCAGTATTTTATGGATGCCAGATTTTTATCTTATTTCTAGTTTCACCCCTTAGCCTGTGCAATCACCTCGGAGTGGTAGTTGTGGCGGTGACACTCCCACCAGTTATCTTTTTAGTTTATTTTCGCTGCTTAGTTTATGTTAATGACTGTTTAGTGTTGTAATTAAGAGATAGAAAAGTGGGGTATTACATGTACTTTTTGGGGTTCAACCGTAAATCGAAACGCTGCATAATTGAAAATACCTCGGTTAGGTCGTCCGTGTGGAGGTCGGCCTCGGCGCTCTTAACAATCATGTCGTCGACGTAGGCCCGCAGGTTGCGGCCGAGGACTTGTTTGAACACCTTGGCCACCATTCGGGTGTAGGTGGCACCTGAATTTTTTAGGCCGAAGGCTATGACCTTGTAGCAGTAGACCCCCTCGGGTGTGGTGAAGGTTGTCTTCTCCTCGTCGGTCCCCTCCATGAAAATCTGGTGGTACCCTCTGAACGCATCTAGGAATCTCATAAGGGCACAACCTGCGGTCTCGTCCACCAGTTAGTCAATGTTGGGGAAGGGGAAGGGGTCCATAGGGCAGGCCTTGTTGAGGTCGGTGTAGTCCACGCACATCCTCCAGGTGGGTAGCTTTGGGGCGAGGACCACGTTTGCTAGCCAGGTGGGGTATATGACCTCCCTGACATGACCGATCTCCAGCAGGGTGTCAACCTCCTTTTTGACGAACTCCTTCCTCTCGGCGGAGAGGTACCTCTTGCGCTGCTGGACTGGCTTGACCGCGGGGTCGAGAGCCAACTTGTGCGTGATCACGTCTCGGCTGAGGCCCGGCATATCCTCGGGGCCCCATGCGAAGACCTCCTTGTAGCTCCTGATGGTGTTAATTACTCGTGCCCGGAGCTCGGCCGGGAGGCCGACCCCACCTTCACAACCCGGTCGGGTCGGCTGAGGTCGAGGATGACCTATTTTGTCTCAACCACGGGCTCGGCCCGAGGCCGACCTGCTTCCTCCCGAAATGCCTTCTCGGCGATGGTGTGGACCTGGAGGTCCTTCTGACCAATTTGGCGGCGCGCCTTTAAGTAGAAACTACGGCTTACCTTTTGATCTCCTCGGGCGACCCCGACCCCGGCTGGTGTCGGGAACTTGAGGCACAGGTGCTCCATGAAATCACGCACCTGAGGTCTTCCAAGGCGGGTCGGCCGAGTATAATGTTGTGGCCACAGCTGATTTTGACAACTACGAACTCGACCTCCCACCTCCTGGTGTGAGGTGGGGTGCCTATCTCCACCTCCAAATTGATCGACCCCTCCGTCTCAATTGAGTCCCCTGTGAACCCGAACAGGGGGGTCCGTACTTGCTCCAGCTGCCCTCTTGAGAGTCCCAACTGGGTGAATGTGTCGTAGTACATGACGTTCACCGAACTACCCGTGTCCACTAGCACCCGGTGCACCACCACGTTGTTGATGTCCAACTTGACCACCAGGGCATCTCGGTGGGGGAGGGGCCCGTCTGGCAGGTCGGCATCGGTGAACGTGATGGGCTCCCTCTTTGGTTTCTTCTCGTGGGGTGTTTGTGTGACCTCCCCAACGTACAAGCTTCTTGCCCACTTCTTCCGCTCGGCTGGCGAGTCCCCTCCCTCGGGCCCCCCGAAGATGACGTAGATGGCACACTTCTTCGGGGGCTAGGAGTCCTCCGTCGTCTTCTCCTCTTCCTCGGAGCTGTGGTCGTGGTCCCTATTACAAGGTGCCGAGGTGGATGGCGCCTGGCCACCCCCTTCCTCCATACATTGCCTTGCTTCTGGCCTTGCGCCTGGCCGGGCTTCTTAATGAACTGGCCGAGGTAACCCATTTGGATGAGCTCCTCGATTTGCCTCTTCAGGAGGATGCATTCTTCCGTATCGTGACCTTTCTGCTGGTGGACCCTGCAGTACTTGTTGGGGTCCCCCTTTGATGATATCTTCATGCACTCCTCTTTCGGGAATACCACGATCCCCTGGCCCTCTGCATGCGCCAAGATGGTACTCACAGGTTGTGTCAGCTGGGTGAGATAGCGTGTGGGGCTCAACCTGGGCCCCTCGGCATATTCACGTCGGTGTGGCCGCGGCGCCTTGCGCTCCTCCTGAGGTGCCTTTTCTTTCCGACCTCTCCCTTCCTCCTGCTCCTTCTTCCTCTTCTCGGCGGCCTCGGCGTCAGCATACCTGGCTGCCCTGTCCATCAGGTCGGTATAGTTCCTGGGGGGGGTACCTGATGAGGTCCTGGTGGAAAGCGCCCGACCTCAAGTTGTTTCGGAAGATCGGCATGGCCGACTTCCCATCAAAGTTGGCGACCCCCATGGTCTCCTTCTTCCACTTGCTAAGGTACTCGGCTAATGACTCCGAGCTCCCCTGCTTCAGATCGCACAGGTCGGCAATTTGCTTCTTTCGCTGCATGCTGGTCGCGGTAAACCACTGAATGTAGAACACGCTTGAGCTGGTACAGCAACTCTGAACAAGAGCACCAATGATGGATTTAATTAACCCGGGATGGACCCGATTCAATAAATCCGGATAGGAACGTATTATAAATAATAAATAAATAATACGAAGCGATGTTGTAAAGGCCATAGAGACCGTATATTGTACTAAATGCCGTAAGTTGGCTATTACAATGATTTTTAGGACAGAGTATATAGAATAGATAGATAGAGTGTAATGAATGTGCCTTGTTAGGACAAGGAAGGGGGCTTTTATACAAGCTAAACCCCCAACCGCCTCCCCCTAAATCGGGGGGCCGTTAGATCACGACTTTGACCGGGCCCGGGTGGACCGAGTCGGGTCACGTCCCTTGGGCTCGGGTAGTACCGAGTTCCCTTACCCGAGCTCGGGTAAGGTCGAGCTACCCGACCCAAGCCCACCACCACGTGGCTCGGGCCGGGGCACCTCCGAGGTGCCTTGGGCCGAGGTATTTTGGGCTCCACCTTGGTGCTCCGGGTCCGCGCTGCTACCCCGGGTCGAGTCTTATGTATAATATATCCGTCAGTATCATTATAGGATTTCTTGAGATTTAATAGCTCCTTCAATACATCATAATAAGTGCTCTTAACATTTTCTTAAATAAATAATCTAATATACACTATTAAATATGCTTAAAAATCATATATAAAATAATAAAAATATTATGATCTTGAAAAGTTACCATGCCTACTATTATCAATAAAAAGAGGTGATGTCAATTTTATAAATAAAAGTATAATCATTTACAAAAAGAGCAAATACTAATTTTGGTCCCACGAGTGTTAACAAAATGACAGTTTTGGTTCACATGTTTAATTCCTACCAATTTTCATCCACGACTATTGTTTTGGTACCAATTTTCATTCACGACTATTATTTTAGTGCCAAAATTCATCACGTTGATCACTCATTCGTTTAAAACATGCCGAAATGTATTTTGACACTTAGACTGTAATCGTGGACGAAAATTGGTAGAAATTAAACATGTGGATCAAAACTGTCATTTTGCTAATACTCGTTGGACCAAAAATGGTATTTGCTCTTTACAAAAATATCACTACCATTTTCTTTTTATAGTAGTAGGCACAATGGTCCTATTTGGTAAAATAATTAGCCAAGATTTGTTAGTGCGGGGGGCCAATCACAATTTGAGAGAAAATAACAAAATACATTAATATTCATTTAACATATTTCAAAATACATCAGTATATTACAAATCTACTAAAATTTTGAACGCCTCTCTTGCATGTCACGAAAATCATCTATAATTGAATCTATACTAAATTGTTTTGCAATTTGTTTTTCAATGTATAATAACAAACAATCATTAAGAAATTCATCTTCCATCTTGTTACGAAGTGTAGTCTTTACTATATTCATGGCAGAAAAAGATCATTTTGTTGCAGTTGTAGATACTGGAAGTGTGAGAATGAGAGTTACTACTTTGAACACAAGAGGGTATATGTTTGATTTTCTAGTTTTCACCACCCATTGGCATAGATTAGAAATACTTTCTAGTGTTCTAAAATCGGGAAGTTGCTACACATGTTCAAAATGTTCAAGTTGAACTCTCAATAGTAAAATCTCATAATCTTCAAAGTCTTGAGGGTACAACTTCTCTACCAACTTGCAAACGTCATCAATTCTGAATGATATACGTATCTCTTTCGGATCTAACGTTGAACTGAGAATAATTAACTCCATTGCTTTATCGTCAAACCTATTGCTCAACTCTTGCAACTGAGAATCAATCACGGCATTAAAAATATCAAATTTGTAATGATGTCCAATTGTTAATTCATCTTGTTGATGCCTAGCCCTTCCTCTTCTTGCAATATATTGAGCATCAAAATTCGGCACAGTTATGTTGACAGTTTCTCAAAAAGACTTCACACTTGCAACTAGTTCATCCCATCCACTATTTCTTAAATTTCGAATAAGCAATTTAGTTGATGACACAAGATGCATTGCATTCAATATTTCTTGAGATTGAAGTTGCAAAGCTTGGCAAAACATATTAGAAATCTCCAAAATTTTTCTCATGAGATGCATAATGAATACAAACTCAAAAGAAGTGAGTACCTCATAAGCTGCATCGGCATCTCCATGGTGAGCATGAGTAGTTCCATCTTCAACAATATTAAGTAAAACTTCACATGTTGCACTATACATTCTCATCAAACTTGAAATAGATTTCAAATGAGAACTCCAACAAGTATCACCCGGCCTTTGTAAAGAACCAATTTGATTAAGACCCCTCCCACTTTCAAGCTCATCAATACTATGCAAATGAGCAATATTTGAGGCATGAGAAACTTTCAACTGGTCATTGCACTTACATGATGCCCCAACAACATTAATAATAGAGTTCAACTTTGTGAAAAATTGGTGGACAGGGATGACTTCCTTTGATGAAGCTACTAAGGTCAATTGCAATCGATGTGCAAAACAATGAACATAATAAGCATAAGGAAATTCATCCAAGATTAAAGCTTTCAATCCATTCCATTCTCCACGCATGTTGCTTTCACCATCATAACCTTACCCCTAATATTTTGAACATCAAGCTTATGACGAGATAAGATAGAAAAGATAGATTCTTTCAATGTTGAGGCAATAGTGTCCTTAACATGAACAACTCCAAAGAAACGTTCTTATATAAAACCATCTTTATTAACAAATCTCAAAACAATTGACATTTGTTCCATCTTTGATTCATCTCGAGCTTCATCAACAATGATACAAAATTTTGCATCACCAATTTCTTCTCGAATAGCACTTTTTACTTTAGTTGCCAACACTTGCAAAATTTGCTTTTGTATTGTTGGTGATGTATATGATGCATTTCGTGGAACTATATCAAGAACTTTTGTTACTTCATCATTAAAAGAGGCAATGAAACTAAATATCTCTAAAAAGTTTCCACGGTTCGTTGATGTTATTGACTCATCATGACCTCTAAAAGAACATCCTTGAAATGCAAGACATCTCGTTGCCTCAATTGAAGTTCTCAAGCGAAGTCTATTCTCTGATATTTCTTGAGAAGTGAATTTCTCAATATGTTGTGCAATGTGTGATTGTTGGTTCATGAGATCCACACAAGCTTTCTCGACATTTCGGTGAGGGGAGGTGAGATCTTTCCCAATATGTGCTAAAAATGATAAATTTTTTCATCTCTAACTTTCTTCCATGATCTAAACCCATTGATAGTAAAAGCATCCAATCCGGAAGGCCCATCTTGAGTATGAAACAAATAAAATGGTAGACAAAATGCTGCATCTTTACTAGGAGAATATTCTAACCAAGAAGGGAATAACTTAAACCAAGATGCTTGAAAACTACGACGATGCTTTTCTCGCAATTTTAGATACTTTGAAAGCAAACATTGATATGGGTCGGCCTTGATATAAATTCTCCTAACTTCATCACGTTTCTCAATGGGACACTTCCATATTGGTAGTCGCAATCTCGGATCGCGTTCTAATGCTTGAATATCAAACTTCTCATTGATTTCAACTCTTTGAGCTTTTTCAGGATGACTTTAAAAATTCAATGGTTCAATACTTTCAAATGGATTTACTTGAGATGTTGAATCTTCAAAATTCTTTCTTTTAAAGAAAAGATCAATTCTTTGTGTCTTTTTCATTTCAACTCAATCTTCTCATGTTCACACTATTAATATTTTGACAAATCAATTGAATTAACTAAAACCAAAAGAAAAAAAAAATAAACACAAGTATACTCATCAAATCAATATTGTGTACTGTCACTAATTAAACACAATTATATTAATTGCATATTAAGTAGTTAATAAACACATCAAATCACCAAATTAATAAACACAAATAAATCCTCAATTAATACTTTGTACTACCATTTTCAAAACTCACCAAATCACCTAATTACTTCTCATGCATATACTTTGTATACTATATACCTAGTGCTTAGACACTTAGGCCTGTGAGTCTCATTTCTGTTACCTTTGAGCGGTGACTCTAGTTTCTGGGTCAGTGAACCCCTTTATGTTTATTTTGAGGATTGATCTTCGCAGACTAGCCGGGTAGCCATCTTAGTGTGGATTGCTACGGCAGTAGAATCCCCAAACTATTAGAAATGAATGATCCTTTATTTATATCTTTACCTTCATTCCTTCTATCAAGTATTGAATTAACCTAGGCTCATGAGTTGTAAATTTGGGGGTGTTATAATAAGGGGTGGACTGATGGGATTCTTGATGGAATTCCTAGGGTTAATTTCCAGTGTGGGCTTAATATGGATATGTTTAGTGGGTCAAGATCTACTTCTTTTAATCATTGGTTAATGATTAATAGAAGTGGGGGGACTCATGATGGGATATTGGAGATTGGGCCTAGCCCACTGGACTTTGGATGTTAGAGAAAAGGCCTAAGGAGGAGGGCTGATGGGTTGGCTATTGAGGCGAGGTGCGGTGGCGGCAGGGGGGTCGTCGTCGGCGCCAATTGGGGGCGCAGGGGGAAGGGGGTGCGATGACCTCCAGCGGGTGAGGCACCCCAGGTCAGTCGTCGTTGCCTCGGATCAGCCAGGTGGCAGGCAGGTGGTGTGACGGCACGGACGTGGGGCGGAGTGGACATATGGCGGCGCGGACGTGCGAGGCGCGACGTGCGAGGTGTGGCGGCAGAATGCACAACGACGTGCGCAGGGTGGTCGACTTGCACGGCGACGTGCGTGGGGTGGTCGACTTGCATGGCGTCGCGGGGTGGTCGACTCTTGCATGGAGGCGACGGGGAGGGTGACGTGCCCGGTTTATGGGGAGGATGACGTGCCTGGCGTGCGAGGAATGTGGGCGTACGACTCAAGCAAGCATGTGGACACGTGGATGGCGGTAGTTAATATATATATATATATATATATATATATATATTATAATAATAATAATAATAATAATAATAATAATAATAATAATAATAATTGTATACTTATATACATGGTTGAAAAAATAGCTAGGCAATCCTCAGGCACTCGGGGGAGCCTAGCGCCAAGGCGCCCGTGTATTTTTTATTTTATTTTTTATTTATTTTTAAAATTTTTTAAAATTTTTAAGACTTGATAATTATTAATTATTTAATATTTTAATAGTTAATACTAAAATATTAAATATTAACTTAAAAACATATAGAGTTTAAGCAATTTAGGGTTATTTCACTCAAAACAATGTCGTTTTGAGTAAAATAACCCATTTAAAAAAGAATGAAACAATAGCTAATTGGCCGACTAGGCGGTTTTGATGGCGCCTAAGAAGCCTAGTCGGCTGCCTAGCCGACCAGCTGCCTAGGTAATTGGTTAAGATTTTTAAAATTGAGGGATTTAATTGGTCAAAAAATAGTCTTGGACCAAATCGATAATTTTGCTATAGTCAAGAGACCATTTCGATAATTAACTCATTTTTGTATGTATAAAATGGATTCCCCTGTCTTTAAATGTTAGGTTGTCCTCATTCCATCCAACATCACTTGCTAAATGATGTGGAATAAAATAATAATTTTTTTATGTACACACGGTTAGCAAGCTTGCTAATGGTAGCTTTTGCTGCCCCACGTGTACCTTTGAATTTATTAAATGCTACTGGCTCTATTATAATGTAGTATGTGTTCATAAACTACTTTCCCAACCTAATGAAGCACAAAGAGTCAATGTTGCCCCCATTGAGGCTCAATCCCACGACCTCTCATATGGGAATCCAACCTTGGTGCCACTAGACCACAAGGTCTTGGCATTTTGGTTAATATTTAATGTTATATATATTAATTTTTAAAGTGATGTGAAATTGAGACTATTTTTTAAAGCTAATTGGATTTATAGGGATTTAGTGAGAATAGTAAATGAATTGTAAATTTAGTTATGTGTGAGTAGAATTTACTTTTGAAAGTGAGAGTATTGCACGGATAAGAATAGCATTAGAAACCCTCTATTTTTATATGCTTTTATGTTTTTATATAGCCAATCATGTCTGGATACAGGATGTACATACTATTACAGGGCGTTTGGTTGGAGGGGGGAATTATGTGGGAAAGGAATTGTAATTCCATGGGAGTTGAATTACTTGGAATAAAGTGGGAATTTAAATTCCAGTGTTTGGTTGACAGGAATAGAATTACTGGGAATTTCAATTCCAATGTTTGGTATACATGGGAATTGAAAGGGAATAAGTAATATAAAGTCAAAAATGTTCATTATTGTTGTTAGACATTAATTTTAGGTTAAAAAAGGAAGGGGTAATTTTGACTCATCACTATCTTTTTTTCCCAGGAATTAAAACCCGGGGGGACATGGGATTTTAATTCCATAAAAATGGGGGAATTGTAATTCCCTCCAACCAAACTACGGAATTTAACGGTCTTTGAAATTAGGTGGGAATTAAGTGGGAAGGGAATTTAAAATCCCTCCAACCAAACGCCATGTTAGTACTCTGATTACTTCTTACATTTGTTTTTTATTATTTTTTTTTTGACTATTACACATCCACATTTAGTGTACAAATATGTTTTTTGTTGTCACATTTAATCTTGCCGGTCAAATCTCAGGCAATTACTTGAACCTTGTGGTCAAGTGGCACCAAGTTGCTTCTCTATGTGAGAGTTTGTGGGTTCGAGCATCAGTGAAGGTTGCGTTGACTCTTTGTGCGGTTGAGAAAGTATTCTATAAACAGATACTACATCAATACATTGTAATAGAGTCAGTAGCACTCTATATATATATATATATATTCTCTCATCCAAAATTGCTATAATGGAAAATTTTAGTAATAGTACGTATTGTGCATTTAGATTTGAATGGATGATTTTTTCATTTTAGCAACCTGGATGAGAGAAATTTATATTTTTTTTTTTTGGCAAGTAGTTGTCAAAGATTTGATCGGTAGGATTAAATGTGGGAACAAAAGTATACTTATGCATCAAATGTGATAAAATTAATATTTAAGAACCAAATGTAGAAAGCAATGGTGTGGTTGACACCAAAAAATAAAAAATGTAGAAAGCAATTAAATAATAGTCGATGAACAAAAAGTGACAATAACTCAAATGTACTACGGAGTACAATCCAATTTCTTACATACTCCACTATATCGATCATTATTGTGTGGACTATGGTCCACACAAGCTCTGTGGACCATATTTTGTATATTATAAAATAATGTATATTTAGTACAAAAATAATGTACTTTTAGTATATTAATAATGTATATTATATTCAAGAAAAGTACATTATTTGAGTATTGAAAATACATTATTTTGTGTAATGTACATTCAATACACAAATAATGTAAATCATAAAAAATGCCCCTCTATAATATGTCAATTATCAATGTCACCCCTGAATTATGAGTGGTGTAAATGTTGTCCTTCAATTATCAAAACGGTGCACATATAGCCCCTCCCGTAACGGACATGTAGTTCTCCGTTAGTGTACGACACCGTTAAGTCGGAGTAAATATGTAATTTAGTTGTATTTTCTCTCCCTCGATTCGAAGTACCAACGATGGA